AGACGGGAGCGAACTGAGACACAGCTCAGCCCAAGCACAGAGATCAATTCTCCTGTCAAGTCACATCTTTTCCTTCTCAAATAGATCCCGTTTTACATTCCCAGGCTTCCAAGTTAGACATGAAGGGGAGGGGAAGAAAAAAAAAAAAAAAATCAGTGATGTTTCCCTATACCTCACTGTCTCCATCTGAATGCTGTGTCCTTCCAAAATTCATGTGGAAGCCCTAAATCCCAATGTGACAGCATACGGGGTGTGATCTTGGAAGGTATTAGGACCAGATGAGATCATGAGGGTGGGCCATGGAGATAAGTACCCTTGATGCACTGAGGAAAGGACCACCTGAGCAGACAGTCAGAAGACATGATTTCCAAACCACGAAGTGGCCTCTCACCAGGACCCAAACCTGCTGACACCCTGATCTTGGGCGTTTCAGCCTCTATAATTGTGAGATATAAATGTCTGTTATTTAAGCCACCCAGTCAATGGTATTAGTGGAGTCTGAGAAGATAGAGGCAGGTAGAAATGAAGCTTCAGTCATTTTAGTGAGATATTCACTACCCATAAAATGACTTGCACGGAAAGCACATTACTTGTATGACTTCACAGAGCAGCACCCATGCCAAGTTTCTGAACCAAAAACCGAAATGAGGATCCAAAGAGATACCCACCCAGAAGGAAATCAACCCAGAAATGAGCAATGGGAAGATGAACGACTTCTAGATACAGCACTTACACACACACAGGCTCCTGGGAAGCCCTTCCCTGTGATCAGGAAGTCTCTCTCCAACTAGACTCACTAAGAACAAGTGAGGATCTAGACCTGATGGCAAAGGCCTGTAATCCTGGCTACTCGGGAGGCTAAGGCAGGAGGATCACAAGTCTGCCTAGGCTTCAGTGAGTTCAAGGCCAACCTGGGCAAAGTACTGAGACACTCTCAAAATACAGAGTAAAACAAAGGTTGGGGCTATAGCTCAACAGTAGAGTGCTTGCCTAGCATGCTTAAAACCCTGTGTTTGAGCTCTACTGCTGCAAAAAGAAAGCGGGGACAGGGAGAAAAACTCATGGACTAGAGATGTAGTTCAGTGGTAGAGCATTTACCAAGTATGCGAGAGGCTCTAGGCTCCATCCCCAGTACCTACACACAGAAGTCCTGCTGAACTCATTCAACTCCTTAATTGAAGACTATGGTCAAAGCAGTTAGTAGGCCACATAATCATCACATACCAACTTTTCACTGCCATAAAGAATTTTGCTGAAAGTTCTAATAATTAGGATGTGTCTTACCTTATACAACAGCCAAGGTCCTAGAAAGTTGCCAAAGAACACAATTTTTGGTAATCAAAGCATTTGCATTCACTAGAAAGGCAGACCAAAAGAACTCTTCCCTCAGCATATTTAGTAGAACCTAAATTTCATACATATCAGACTCGTTTAAAGTCAAATCACTGCCTAGTAGCTACACCTGCTACACAATCAGCTTTCCACCACATTAGAGTAACTGTTTTCCAAGTTCCTTCCGTAATAACTACATTTCTCAACCCGGGTTTCAATTTTCAACCTGACTCCGCCTCTTCCAACTCCAGGTTTCCCCACTTTTTCACTCCTTCCGGGGCTTCTGTGTGCTGTCCTAGGAAGTACCAAGCCTTCCTTTCTCCCCTAGGTTCCTTCTGGGCCTAAGACCTATAAACCTAAGTCCACAGACTCTCTGGAACCCCTAGGACTCCACTCTAGGAAATAATGATTCACTCCAAAAGCTTAGCGGTTATAACCCAACAAGACTCAGGCTTGGAAATCTAAAACTTAAGAGATGCAATTCCATTTAGTAAGTACACTTGGGAAATTCACCCAGTATACAATTGTATTCTATAAAAAGGAATTAATCCTTTGCACTGGAAGGTAGTGGAGGTTTGTGAAGATACTCCAGAATCCCATGATTTTCTTTAATCCCTAGACTACTTGTAAATAGTTAATTTCAACTTTAATTTAATAGGCACTGAGCACTTATCATAAACCCAGGTACTATGAAGGATAAACACAAAGGAAATGCAGTTCCTCCCTTTTGGAAGCTTACAGTCTTACAAAGGAAATAAAAACAAAGTCACTATGAATAATAAAAGATGTGGCATAAATAAGTATGACTACACCAGCAAGCCAGAGCAGAGTCTCACTAATATAACTATGCTGGCAGGGAAACCCTGGGGGACTGAGACATCAGGAAAACTCCATCTGTGTTCAGACAGAAGAAAAAACGTTTTAATTTTAATCCATATACTAAAAAGATGGTGTGATGATATCTCTATGGGGCCTCCAGGCACTTCTAAACTGCTGACACTACCTCCTGAGGACAGCCATCCTACTTCTGCTCCCATGGCACCGTCTCCAGTCCAGCACAACAGGCTCTCTCCTAAACATCCGAGCTCTGGGTTCCTCTTCCCTAAAACCACCAAATGGCCTGAATCCTCTTCCCTAAAACCTCTGAATGGCCCACATCCTCACTTCAAAGGTCACCCATACAAAGCGCTTTGGACCATCTCAGGATTCTCTATCCAGCTCCCTGCTTTATTGTCTCACTACCTAACAAAAATTGTTGGTCTCTCTGCCACTGGTATATTAAGTTTCAGGAGAGGAGGGATTTCTTTGCTCACTACTATAGATCCCAGAGGGCTATACAGCACCCAGTGCATCCCAGCTGCTCAATAAACATTAATTATGTGAATAAATGAATATTACATATACACACAGGGTCATTTTGGTTGTTTTTAATTCTTCATTCATGTCTCCCTACCCAAGCCATATGCATGGTTAGGAAAATGAACTTGCTTATATGTTTAAGAAAATAACCTAGAAATCACTCTGTGCACACGCTTTCCTAAATAAGGAAACACAGATCCCAAAACATGGGTTTTCCCCGGGGGCTAAATCAATGATGATATTAATACCTATGTGACATTGTGTAGCAGAACTACAATTATGAGCTGGGCATGGTGGTGCATACCTGTAATCTCAGGGATCTACTGGGGAGGGAAGTACAGGATGGTCAGAGTTCAAAGTTACCCTCAGCTACCACAGTGAGTTCAAAGCCAACCTGGGCTACATGAAACTCTTGTCAAAAAAAAATTTTTTTTTTAACTACCCTAATGAGAATGTAATGTGCAAGTGGAAAAAAAAGAATAGCCATAAATATACAGAGTAAAAAATTCTCTAAGGATAGCGAATAAGTTATTCAATTGTACCCAAAGGACCTATTCACTCCTTCCTCTGCACATCCTGAAGTCCCTGTATGCTGCTCCATTTCCAAGTATCACTATCCTTAGCCAATCTGAAGGCAGCCAGCAAATAATAGGTCTCAGGCAGAAGGAAGGGAAAACAGATCTCATTATTAACTCTGACCGATGAAAAAAATAAATAAATCCATATGCCCACATGAAGATATATGCACACACCAGGTGCAACATGCCCACCAGCGTCTCCACCCTGTGGACCCTCTTTTACCATTCAGTGCTAACACGCCTGGCCTGGAGCCTCCCTGCTTTTCTTTGGCCCTGAGCTTTTAATTCTCACAATCCTGCCTGACAGAGTTCTTCTAATGGAAATAAAAACAGTCAAAAGAATTCAAAAATAAACACCCTGAGAGTCACTTTTACCCAAACCAACAGAGGTAATGGTGGATTCTGCAAAGGAGACAAGAGGCACACAACCAACATGCCAAGCTTAAGCACAGCTCCTTCTCTGCCACAGGAAGTCAGACAGAACCTTGAAACGCAGGCAGCAGAGCACAGGAAGTCTTCTGGCACTGCAGAGACTTCCAAGCGGTGTAATGGAGAGAGCACAGGAATAGGAATTGGGAAGACCAGGTTCCTGGCCCTAGTTTTACAGCCAGGTAAGTGTGTGGCAAGTCACTAGCCTTTCCTGGACTTCTGATTCACTATCTATAAAAATGAGGCGATTAAAACATGCTGGAACTTGAACACGCCCTCCCCCCAAAAAAAGATGGAAATTACTGACTCTTCTTCACCAAAAAGTACACACAAAGACTCCTGCAAGTCTGTTAGGTTAAGAACCACTGGAAAAGATGATGGTGTCTGATCCCTTCCATCTCTAACATTCTATGGTTCTAAAAGAATTAGCATCCCACTGTTGCTGAGTGAGCCTCACCATTTCAAAGCAAATATTTTCTTTATAGAGACCAAATCCTAAAGTCTACAAAGGATTCAAGCCCTTCCTCAAACTAAGTAGCAACTGATATCATCAATATCTTTTCCCATCCCCCGTTATCATCAGCCAGCTCACCCTAGAGGCCACAACTCAGAAACCAGTCTTCTAATAGCCCTATAAATTTTCTTTTGTACCCCAGGTTATTAAAGAGCTATTCCCGTGTCTTGGCGGTGTAGGTCGCAACTGGCAAAGTGCAGGAGGGATATACCCAGTGTCTCTCTTCAAACTCATTAACATGCTCCAAAAATTTAATCACGGTGTCCCCACACTACTAAACTCCGCGTACTTCTCACACGCCCTGTGCAACTGATTTAACCCACAACCCAAGCCACATCCCCTTTGGGCTCTCTCCAGGAGTTTGCTGGGTTTTCAAAACTCTTTCACTTGCTGCTCCCCTACCCCATCCCAGGCAGCGCTTAGGGTAGACCAAAGGGTTTTCCCTTTCTTCTTGAGGCTTTTCCACCTGGTCCCTTCGCGCTCGACTGGGCCTAACAGCTCTCCCCGGGAGCAACAGACCCAGGATGCCCCCACTTCTCGAGAAACTGAGGAACGGCTGAAGAAATGGACTGCATCCCGAGCCCATCCGATCCCCCACAAATCCCATTCCCGCGCGCTGTTTCGGGGTGCGGGGATCAGCCCGGCTCCCCCGGCTCCAGCCAGGCCGCGACCCTCCCTCTCTCCCTCCCTACTTCCCTCTGGCTCCTCATCCCACCCGGCCCCCAGGCCCTCGCGTTCCCCGCCCGCCCGCGGCCCGCGGCCACTCGGCACCCGTCCCGCGCGGTCACCTGCATCCCGCCGCCGTCCGCCGCCGCCTCCTCGGTGCGCGGCCGCTTGCTCAGGCCGGGGTCGCCGCCGTCTCCTCCCGCTGCGGGCACCGGCAGCTCCAGCTCCGACTCGCGCTTCATGCCCCGGGCAGCGGCGCCGGGCCCGAGCTGAGGCGGCGGCTGCTGCGGCTGGCCGCCTTCCGCCATCCGCCAGTGCCCCCTTCGCCTCCGGGAGCCGGGCTGCCCGCGACAGGCCACCTCCCCCTGGGCCTCGGCGCCGACTGTCGCGACAGGCGGGCGCGCGCCGGCCCCGGCCCCGCCCCCCGAGTGCGTGCGTGCGTGCGCGCCGGCCCGGAGCCCGACTTGGCGCGGCCACTGCTCACCGCTCGCGGGGTCGAGGTTGCTGGTCCCGTTGGCCGGCCGCCCGCTGCTCCAGCCCGGTCCGCCTTACGCACTGCCTGCCGGAGTCGTCGTGGCTCGCGTCGTGCGCTGGCTCCCTCCCCACTCGCCGGCCGCGGGAGGAAGGGGGTGGTGCAGGCTCCGGGAGCGGGGAGGGCTGTTTATTTGGGAGGAGGAGCGCGAGAGCAGAGCGCGCTGACTGGCCGGGATCCTCCGTCCCGCCACAGTGGCAGCCGGGAAGGCGGGGAGAGAGAAAGGAGGGAAGGAGGGACCGGGATGTGGGACTCGGGCCCGCCCGCGCTGGAGGCTGTGGCGAGGGGGAAGCGGCGGCGGGGGCCGAACCCGTGGAGGGGGCAGGGCCAAGCCCCTCGGCAATCTCCGCCGCCTCCACGGCGGCTGCCCGTGGAGGTCGGGAAGGGATCGGAAAAGCTCGGGAATCTCCGGGATGTTCTGGGAGCCCGAAGCGGTGCGGCGGGCGAGCACGAGGGGCGGGGTCCGCCCCTTCTAGGGCAGGCGGAGCTTGAGGGGCCGGCCAGAACCCAGCTCAGGCTTAAGGGGTCGTTGTGAAACGTTGTGACCTCACCTCGCCTGTCTGGCTCCCTGGGATTTGGAAAGCTGTGGCGCTCTGGGAGAGAAGGGCTATTTGCCCATTTCTTCCCGCCCAGGAACGTAGTTCAGGAACGAGGTCGGGGAATGAATCCACCCTTCTGAAAACTTTTACTACGGGAGTAACGATCCCATCCCTGATGATCTTAGTTCCTGATATTTCTAACAGAGCTACAGTTTGCACAGTGCATTCCCACACTCCTTTTGGGGTTTGATAATAGAGACCATGATTTCCATTCTACGGATGAAACCTAAATTTGGTCAAGCCCTGGAGCAGAAAAATGTGGTGGATCTAGATCCTGCCTTCCCTTTTCTTTGCTAAACCTTGCTGCCTGCGTAGCACTTTGCTTATCAGCTTCGTGCAGTTAGGTCTGTGGGATAGATTTTACCCTACCAGACTGTAAATGGCAGCAACCGAATCTGCCTCTCATAGATTCCACACTGTGACCTGCACATTATGAAGGACTGAAGTGATGTTACACTTACACCTTTTGCTTACTACTTGAAAAGTGTTACTTTCTCTTGCAATATCTGTAAAAGGATGGTTTGGGTCCGTGGTGCTCAACCATGGGTAGATTTGTACCCTGTCAACAAACCCCGTCGCTTGTATGTCATTTAGCATGTTAGGTTGCCGCTGGCATCTATCGAGTAGAGGCCAGGAATATTGCTCAAAATCTTACCATGCACAAGACAGTCCACTCAAGAAAGTTATCCAAACCAGAATGCCAATGGTTAAGAGATTGAGAAACCCCAAGTAAAATGATGTCTAAGGTCATTTGCAACCAGTCACTGCCTAGGCCTTTGAACTCAAGCTCCTAAAAATGGAACAAAACAGTAGTAAAGATCCCTGCCTGCTTCAGCCCAGTTTGGTGGCACATGCCTTTAATCCCAACACTCAGGAGCCAGAGGCAGGCAGATCTCAGTGTAGGCCAGCCTGGACCGCATAGCAAGTTCCAGGCCAGCTGGAGCCACAGAGAAACCCTGTCTCAAAAAAAAAAAAAAAATCCCAGCTTCAGTCAGAACAACCCAGTGGGAACTCAGGCTTTACCACCCACTGCCCATGAAATGGTAAACCCCTGGTGATTGAGAGTTCCTTTAGAAAAAGACATTTAAAGGCTTGCAGGCTGGTTGGAAAAGACTGGGCAACTTGCCTTGAAGCTGGGTTTTCCTGGTGAGCACTTTGTGTTATTTAAGGTGTAATATTTGTTTAACTGCCATTTACAAGTTATGGGAGGAAGCCAATATCCCTCAGTTTCTTCATCTTAAATTACCATAATAGTATTTTTTTTAAAGAATTGTTATCAAAATCAAATGAGTTAACATTAAGAACTTTGATCATGTTATGGCTTGAATCAAAAAATGTCCCCCAAAGGCTTGTGGTAACAACTTGGTTGCCATCTGATAGACTTGTGGGAGGTGTTTGGATCATGAGGACCTAATCACTATGTTTAATGACCAACCCAGTGGACTACTGCATTGACTGAGTCATGGTTGGGAGATGGTGGAAACTGGAAGACAAAGCCTGATTGGAGGAAGTCAGTTGCTGTGAGCATGATTTGAAAGGGTATTTCTTGCCCCTGGACACTGCGACTGTCTTTATTCACCTCCAGCCCACCATAAGGTCAGTTACTTTGCTCTACCACATGGTCCCTGCCAAGGTGTTCTGCCTCACCACCCTTACTCAGGCCCAGGAGCAACAGAGCCAAGTGATCATGAACTGAAACCATGAGCCAAAATAAATTCCCCCTTCTTTAAGGTGTTTTCTCAAAAATTTTGTTACAGAGACAACTGACAAGATCAGCATGTCTGAGGTAAGCACATGTTAGTTAAGGACATTTATTTCTATTATGATTTTTTAAATCTATTTACTTGTGTGGTGTGTGTGTGTGTATGTGTGTATCACAGCACACATATGGAGGTCAGAGGACAACCTTCAGGTATTCTCCTTCCACTGTGGGCTCCAGGGATTGAACTCAGGTCATCAGACTTGCACAGCAAGCACTTTTACCCACTGACCATCTTATGGGTCCTGCCATTATGATTTTATTCACATGGTCAGAGTGACCAGATACTGTCAAGATCAAAGACCACCATTATCACTATTTTTTCTTTTTCTTTTTGAAGCAGGGTCTCCCTGTAGCCCCAGCTGCCTGGGAACTCACTATGTAGACCAGGCCAGCCTTGAACTCACAGAGATTCGCCTGCTTCTGCCTCCCAAGTGCTGGGTCTACAGGTGTGTGCCACCACACCTGGCATCACTATTTTTTTATTACTTTTATTTTTATTTTATGTGTATGTGTAAGTGTACCCATGTCATGCAATACCACAGAGGTCAGACAAAGGCGTCAGATCCCCCCGAAACTGGAGTTATAAACGATTAGCTGCCATGTGAGTGCTGGAAATCAAACCCGGGTCCTCTGCAAGAGAAGTCAATGCTATTAACCACTGAGCCATCTCTCCAACCCCTATCACTATTATTTTTAAGACTTTTAGATTTTTTTTTATTTGCATGTACAAAGTGCTAGCATGAACTCTTTTCTTGAGTAATCCATTTAAGGGAGGTCACTTAGTCTAACTTAATGAAGCCTGTGTCCTCCTGAGTACTCATGGAAACACTGCTGGCACGTGCTCAGCCTGCATTTCTGCATCAAACTGTGGCAGTAGAGCACGTGCCCCAAGCTCAGGAACCCTGGCCAGTTTCACAGGTGACTCCAGAGCTGCTGCTAACCCATCTTGCCATCAGATGTCCAACAAGGGAATGGGGTTATTGTTGAGGTTTCTTATATAAGATGGCTTGGATGAGGCTACTAAAAACTCAGATGGGACAGACATACTCCCTCAAGTCACCCTCTGATGCGACCACTGGGGTTAAGCCAATTACTCATTTTTACTAAGCCTTATACTCCTCATTTGTAAGATGACAATAATAATAGTTACAGTTTTTTGGAGTATTAAATGCGACAAGACAAAACACTTAACAGGATGCCTAACAGGATAACTTATTATTTATCATCTAATTTAAATAATGACAATGAGCTCTTCCTGTTCTCCATCATGGTGCAGGATCAAGGTGAAAAGGAGAATCCCATGTGGGAACTTCAAATCTGCAAGCTCTGCCTCAACATCTGTGTTAGGGAGGGTGGAGACTGACTGACCCGGGCAGCCAAGGTGTTGGAGCAGCTCACAGGCCAGACACCTGTGTTTTCCAAAGCTCGATACACTGTCAGGTCCTTTGGCATTAGGAAAAATGAAAAGATTGTGGTTCACTGTACAGTCTGTGGGGCCAAAGCAGAAGAAATCGTGGAGAAAGGTCTGAAGGTTCGGGAATATGAGTTACGATAAAATAACTTCTCCGATACTGGAAACTTTGGTTTTGGAATCCAGGAACATATTGATCTGGGCATCAAATATGACCCAAGCATTGGTATCTTGGGCCTGGACTTCTACGTGGTGATGGGTAGGCAAGGTTTCAGCATCGCAGACCAGAAGCGCAGGACAGGCTGCATTGGGGCCAAACACAGAATCAGCAAAAAGGAGGCCGTGCGCTGATTCCAGCAGAGTATGATGGGATCATCCTTCCTGGCAAATAAATTCTATCCAAAAGGCCAATAACATTTTCTCAGAAATGTAAAAAAAAAAAAAAAAATAGTAAAATAACAATGAACTGCGGCCAAGAGCTCCTGGGGGTGGGAGGGGAAATCCAGGCATCTCTTAATATTACTATTTGTATCACCACCGAGGTAGAAGCCCACCTACCTTCCAGCTCATTGTTGAGCTGAACTAGACAGCTCTCACTTAAGTCAGGGGTCCACCCAAGCATGATGACTTTGAAAGAAAATCAAGATATCTCTAGGTTGACCTGTGGAACAGGCTTTTATTTTATTTTTTAACCTAAACACATTAGTGACTGATTTTCTGAAAGTTTTACTTACTGAACTCTTTTTTACTTTTTTGTCTTTTTGAGACAGGGTCTCCCTGTAGCCCAGCTGGCCTGGATCTCACTATGTAGACCAGGCTGGCCTTGAACTCACAGAAATCTGCCTGCCTCCTGAGTGCTAGGATTAAAGGTATGTGCCACCATGCCTGGCTACTTACTGAACTCTTAAGAATTCTTCTGGGCCTGGAGAGATGGTTCAGTGGTTAAGAGTACTGGCTGCTCTTGCAGAGGACCTGGGTTCGATGACCAGAACCCACATAGCAGCTCCAGTTTTGAGGAATCTGATGCCCTTTTCTGGCCTCCCATTACACTGCACACGCATGGTATACTTACATACATGCAGGCAAAATATTCATACACATAAAATACAAATAATTTTTAAAAAATATTTTATTATTTTTATTTTATGTGTATGAGTGTATTGCCTGCATGTATGTGAGTGCACCCTGTGTCGTGCAATGCTATGGAGGTCAGAAGAAGGCTTTGGATTCTCCTGGAACTGGAGTTAAGGACGATTCATAGCTGCCATGTGGGTACTGGGAATCAAACCCAGGTCCTCTGCAAAAGCAGTCAGTGCTCTTAACCACTGAGCCATCTCTCCAGTCCAGAATACAAATAATATTTTTAAATGAGTTAAAAAGATTCTTCTCCCCTCCCTACCTGCTTTGCCAAAATTCTGAAATCTAAATGATGTTAGATCCTTCCTCAGCTGTCTCATGACCAAGCAAGATACAAGATTTGTGATGAGAGCTGCTTGTCACCCAAATTCTTAATCAGATCCCTAAGAAATAGACTGATGCAGTGTAGGAATGTCTGAATGACCTAGAAGATTAAAGAGGAATTGACCCGTGCTTTGTAACCAAGCATTAAGCATTTCCGGAATAAGCAGAGACTAGAAACCCACAAACAGAGCAAGTCATATCCATGGCTACAAAAAGACTGAGGTCATTTCTTTTATGTAATCTGAAGCTACTTGTTTGAAAACAGGTTGCACGACACGGGTGCACTCACATACATGCAGGCAATACACTCATACACATAAAATAAAAATGTTTAATTTTCTCTGAATTAAACATTGCATCCTGGAAGTTAAAACTCAAAAGTAAACAATTCACAGGTCTTAGGAAGTTCCTGAAACTTAAAAGATTCCCACAAGGCCCCTGCCTAAGGTTATATAAACAGTAGGACCATATAGGAGAGATTTTCTTAACTGCCCCTGCCTGTAAATCCTGCAGGGAGATCCAGAGATGGAGTCATTCATCACCCATGGTGAGCTTCTCAATGATGCAGCTGTCTTTGAGTTGTTCATGCCCCTGTAGGTAACCCCTCATTCATACTCCTCTAAGAAACCTGGGTAAACACACTGGTTCACTAAGCAAGATTTGGGTGGAATTGTCTTTTTGATCTGTCACTGGTGCCCTCTCTGGGTTAAGCAGACATTTACCACATCTCCCCAGGAAAGGTCACACAACAAGGTAGTTGTGAAATTGGTTAACAGTGTGGAGCTGGAGGAATGGCTCAGTCATTAAGAAGACTTGCTCTTCTTCCAAAGGACCCAAGTTTGGTTTCCAGCACCCACATTAGGCAGCTCATAACCATATGTAACTCCAGTTTCAGGAGATCCGATGCCCTCTTCTGACCTCTGTAAGTACCAGGCATGTACATGGAGCACATACACACATGCAGGCAAGCACTCAAAGTAAAATTAATAGAGCTTTTCAAAAATAATACAGAAGAAAATACCTAAATATTCTCAGGATGGGGAGACAGCTCAGTGGATAAAGTGCCTGTTGCACTAGCATGAAAATCCATGTAAATATTGGGTGAGCATGGCAACCCACCTATAATTCCAGCGTGCTCTAGGCAGAGAGGAAATCCCTGGAGCAAGCTGGCTAACCAGACTAGTTGTGTCTGTGAGCTCTTGATTCAATTGCGAGACCCTCCCTCAATGAATAATGTGGAGAGCAATTGAGGAAGATTCCTAACATCAATCTCTGGCCTCCTTACATGCGCACACACATGCACACACATGCCACTACACTTGTACACTCACATATATTACACATATAAACATGGGAGGAGCATCATTACTTCTTGGCCTTTGGCTATGATCAAATGTAGTATGTGTTCTTACCATTTAATATCTAGTACATCATCTATGAGGACACTACATTAAATGGAATTTTGAGATTCAGAGGCAGAATAAGAACTTGTTTTTTCCACTGTATTCATTGACTTGGGATTTAAGTACCTCCAGGAATGGTGCATGCCACTTGGAGTTCTTTGTAAAAAAATATTTTATTCACTTTTGTTTTATGTGTATGACTGTTCTGCCTGCATGTATGTAAGTGTGGCACATGTATACAGGGCCCACAGAGGCCAGAAAACAGCGTTGGATCCCATAGAACTGGAGTTACAGATGGTTGTGAGTCATCATGTGAGTGCTGGGAACTTAACCTGGGTCCTCTATGAGAACAGCAAGTGATCTTCACTGCTAAGCCATCTCTCCAGCCTCAACCCCCCACACACACTTGAGGTTATTAAAAAAATGAAATAATTTTGGGACTGGAGAGATGGCTCAGCAGTTAAGAACACTGATTGTTCTTGCAGGAGAGCCTGGTTCAAATCCCAGCACCCACATGGCAGCTAACAACGGTCCATAACTCCAGTCCCAGGGGATCTAACAGCCTCTTCTGACCTCTGTGGGCATTGCACAACATGGGTGCACTTACAAGCAGGCAATACATGGTACACATAAAAAAAATAAAAATTTTTTTTAAATGAAATAATTTGGGGCCTGGATAGATGGCTCAGCAGTTAAGAACACTGGTTGTTCTTTCAGAAGATCCTGGTTCGAATCCCAGCACCTACATGGCAGCTAACAACTATCCGTAACTCCAGTTCCAGGGGATCCAACAGCTTCTTCTGATCTCTGCAGGCATTGCATGACATGAGTGCACTTACCTACATGCAGGCAATACACACACATAAAATAAAAATAATAAATGAATTTTAATGAAATAATTTTTCTAGAAAGTGCTTTTAGCTGGAGAAACTATATTGTCCTGACAATTGTTGTTATCCATTTAGCAGATTGTGTCTCAGCTTCTGGAATATCAAGGTGAGTAAAACTGGTTCTTACACTAAACAGCTCATCACGTGGGAAAGAAAGGATGCACAAATAAAGAGCTAATTGGTTTCTTTAATATTATATTTATTATTTTTATTTATGTGTATGCATGTATTGCCTGCATGTATGTAACTACACCCATGTTGTGCAGTGCCTACGGAGATCAGAAGAGGGCATTAGATCCCCTGGAACTGGAATTATGGACAATTGTTAGCTGCCATGTGAGTGCTGGGACTGGAACCTGGGTACTCTGTCAGAGCAGCCAGTGCTCTTAACCACTGAACCATCTCTCTAGCCCCATAAAGAACTAATTGGGTTTTGTTTGTTTGGTTGGTTTTTTTTGTGTTTTTGAGACAGGGTTTCCCTACAGCACCAGCTGGGCTGGAGCTCACTATGTAGACCAGGCTGGGCTTGAACTCACAGAGAGTTCAAGGCCAGCCTGCCTGCCTCTGCTTCCCAAGGGCTGAGACTAAGGGCTTGCACCACCACACCTGGCTTTTATAGAGAGGTAATTGTAACACACCGTGAAGAGAAGCTCATCTTTCCCACTGGGCAAGAACACAGGCTCTGGTGTCAGAGATACATAGTTTCAGTCTGACTTTCCCTTATAGTTGAACCTGTACAAAAATGTTAACATCTGTGACTCTCAGTTAGCCTTTTACATCACATGTTACTAGCAGAATCACAATTTTTTTCAGGACTACAGTAGTCTTAAAAAAAAAAAAAAGAAGAATGAAAGAAGAGCTAGGAAGATGGTTCAGCAGGGAAAGGACTTGCTGCCAAGCCCGACAACCATCTTCAGGAACCACGTGATAGGAAAGAACAGACTTCTACAGGATGTCCTCAGATCTCCACATGTGCACTGTGCTTCTCTCTCTCTCTCTCTCTCTCTCTCTCTCTCTCTCTCTCTCTCTCATACATATATATGTATGTATATATGAGAGATGGCTGCTGGAGAGATAGCTCAGCAGTTAAGAGCATAAGTCCAGTTCCAGGGGATCCGATGCCCTCTTCTGACCTCTGAGGGCATTGCACAACATGGGTGCACTGACATACATGCAGGTAATACACACATACACATAAAATAAAAAGTAAAATATTAAGAAATAAGTAAATGTAATTTAAAAAGGAGGGAGTGAGCTGGGCGTGGCGTTGCACGCCTTTAATCCCAGCACTTGGGAGGCAGAGGCAGGTGGATCCCTGTGAGTTTAAGGCCAGCCTGGTCTACATAGTGAGTTCTAGGACAGCTGGGGCTACAGGGAGCCCCTTTTTGTCTCAAAAAGACCAAAAAAAAAAAAAAAAGAGGGAAGGAAGGAGGGAGGGAGGCAAGGAAGGAAAGGGAGGGAGGGAAGGAGGGAGGGATGGAGAGAGGCAGGGAAGGAGGGAGAGAAGGAGGGACAGGGAGGGAGGGAGGGAGAATTCTAGGCTAGCTGGCAGCCAAGGGTGGCCATAATAACATAGTTGCAGCCCTCAAGATGTACCTAGGGGATAGCATTCCTTCTCAAATAATAAGGCAAATCCATAAAAAGTAAAGGAGCCTTGCCCTTCACCCTTTGTCCTGCCTAGAATGCAAATTGAGAAAATGTCCAGATAACAGCAAAGCAACATGGTAACAGTGTTATTGCAGAGCCCCACACCCACATCAGTCCAGCTACCTGTAATTCACTGTTATTGGAGCAAAATAACTTCCCTGTTTGGCTAAGCCACTGTGCATTAGGTTTCTACATGAAGCCAGGCCAACTCAAATCCTAACTGATACACACTATAAACAGAGGATAATGGTAGTATCTTCCCTGAGATTCTCTTTTTCTTTTTCTTTTCTTTTTTTTTTTTTTAAAAGTTTACATGTGTGTATGTGTGCCAGCTGTCCTGGAACTCAGTATGTAGACCAGGCTGGCCTCGAGCTCACAGGGATCCGCCTGCATCTGCCTCCCAAGTGCTGGGATTAAAGGCCTGCACCACCACAGCCCAGCCCCTGAGATTCTCTTAAGCATTAAATAACGCATGTAAAGCAGGGAGCATGACACCTGGTTCATAGACACAATAGGTGATGATGAAGACCTTTGTACTACCCTTACTACATCTGTTATCCTTATATCTATGATTATTGCATGTGCCAAAGCAAGAGAGCCACATGGGCAGATGCTTCTCCATCTAGCTGGGGGAGAAAACAGGTTTCATTCAGAATGGTGCATTGTAGATATAGATTTTTAATTTTTATGTATATGAGTGTATTGCTTGCATATATATAAGTGCACCCATGTCTTACAGTGCCCTCAAAAAGAAGAGGGTGTCGGATTTTCCTGGAACTGGAGTTACGGATGGTTGTTAGCCACCATGTTGGTGCTGGGAATTGAACCCAGGTCCTCTGCAAGAACAGTCAGTGCTCTTAACCACTGAGCCATCTCTCCAGTCCCCAGAATGGTACATTTGACCTGGGTATTTAAAAATGAAGACTGGGGCTGGAAAGGTGACTCAGTGGTTAAGATCACATACTGCTCTCCCAGAGGACCTGAATTCAATGCCTAGCAACCATGTCAGGCTGCTCATAAGCACCTATAACTCCAGCTTCCTCAGGCACCTGAACTCACATGCACCTACACAGGCCCACCTGCCCAGGGGTGGCACCACCCACAGTGGGCCGGGCCCTCCCACATCACTCATCAAGAAGATGCCCCTCAGACATGGCCACAGGCCAGTCCAATAAAGGTAATTCCCCAATTGAGGCTCCCTCAACCCAGGTGTGTCAAGTTGACACTAAAGCTATCCAGCACAAAGAGCCTCTAGGTTATGGGTTATTTTGCTTTGCTTTGTTTCACATTTATTTACATGTATTTATTTTATTTGTATATAAGGGAGTTCATGTGGAGGTCAGAGAACAACTTGTGGGCCTCTTTCCATTCTCTTTCCATTCTCCAGAGTTTTCCAGGGGACCAAACTTGGGTCATTAGGCTTGGAGGCAAGGGCTTTAACTGGTTTAGCCATATTACCAGGCTCAAGCTATGGTATCTGATGGAAAAGAAGCAATTTCTTGTGTCTCCTTTGCTTAGCAGGAAATAGGTGCTACCAGCTTGGCTAGTAGAAGAAAACTCTGATAGGTACAGAGGTAGCAGTACTGGACTTGGAGTCAAAAGACTGGGACTGGGTTTGAAGAGATGGCTTAGCCCTTACTGCCCTTCCAGAGGACTCAAGTTCAGTTCCTGGCACCCAGGTCAGGCAGCTCACAGCTGCCTATAACTCCAGCTCCAGGGAATTGAACCTATCTTCTGGCCTTAAAAAGCATACATACATGTAGCATATACACATACACTGAGACATATACACATAAATAAAAAATAAAGCTTAAAAAAAAAAAAAGACCAGGACAGACTCAGGACCAGTGGTCGTGGTTTTCAAATCAACAGAGACTAAGAGAGGCAAGTGCACTATCCATGTGGAAGTTAGGACCAGAACACCCATCCACAAGACTGTCTTGAAGCCCCTAGGAGATGAAAAATCTTAGGAAGGGCATGTACAAACACCCAGTCCCCCTGATAATCAACAGCCATTCACAGACAATAATAGAAATCTCTACTTATAAGCTCTTTGGGAACGTGAGCATTTCTCTTTATCCTTTTCTTCATTTCTGTGTCCCTAGCACTTAGCAGAGAGTTGTCACAAAATGTAGGTATTCCAACACTCCTAAAGACATTAAAAAGTTCAGGGTGGCACACACCAGCACTCAGGAGGCAGAGGCAGGCAGGTCTCTGTGAGATTGAGGCCAGTCTAGTCCATGTAACAAATTCCAGGTCAACCAGGGCTGCATAATGAAAGCCTGACTTGAAAAGAAAAGAAGGAAGAGAAGAAAGAAAAAGAAAGAAAGAAAAAGGAAGGAAGGAAGGGAAAGGAAGGAAGGAAGGAAGGAAGGAAGGAAGGAAGGAAGGAAGGAAGGAAGGGAAAGAAAGAAAGAAAAAAAAACAAGCAAGCAAGCACAGCCCCGTGGGCTAGATGTAGCTGAGTGGTAGAGGGCTTGCCCAGCATGCTCAAGGCATTGGGGTCCATTCACAGCACAACAGTGTCAGGTCTAAGATTACCCCCAGGAACACAGACAGCTCCTCCCTCTCCAGCAGAACAGGTGATCCCAGACTGCTGCTGTCGTCATTG